AGTTATTTTGTATCGCACTACCAAATGTTATTATCTTTTCATACCGCTATTTGTAACTAATGATGTATCAAGGCATGTATCTTGATCGCATCTTTTATGTTAGTTATATTGCAACATTTTTCTAATAAAGATGCATGCGTTTGTAATGCAACCATCATGGGATGTATATTTTTATAGGCAACTAAATATATTATAGAATATTTACAAACGCATGTATAAGCAGTATGTGAAAAATTATATTTAAAAATTATATTGTGGTGGGATACAAAATATACTTTGAAGTGTATAATGTTTAATAATGTATTAATTTTTCACGAGACATATATAAGAATCAAGCGGCATATTTTGCGAAATATTTAAACTTTCATCCTAAATTTGGTTCAGGTGATAATTTATAATAAAAATCTGTAATAAAATAATTAATTTTTTTATATTCATAATAATTATTTCTACCATAAAACATTATCATATTATAAAAAAAAATGGATTGATGAAAGGATTTGAACCTTGATTTACAAATTGAAACGCAAGTACTATATTCACTACACCACACCTACTCATGTATAATCTAATAACTGTACTAAAGATTAATTTTTATATCGAAGAGATTTTCAGTAATGTAACTGTTGACCGTCTGGACTGTAATAAACATACTATTAATTCTGAGTTTTCCCTTATTAATTATAGCTTATAATCGATATAGATACACAAACATACATCTAAAATATAATCTACATATACACACACACACACACATACACACACACACGCGCGCGCGCGCACGCACGCAATTTTTTTAAAAATTGCCTCTTTAATAATTTTGTTTTTATATAGTAAGTTACCGACAATTAATGCCTATATTGAACTCTCCTTTCTTCCCACAATGTTAAAATTTTTAGTTTATTTTTAGCTTCAAGAGCCTAAGATATGTATCCTTCTGTATTATTTTTTTATTATTTAAATGTTATGTTATCCATTTTATTTTTTTTTTATCAATATTATTTTTTTATCAACATATTCTTGTAATAGTTTTATATATAAAAGTATTCTATCTATCTAAAAAAATATGAAATATTGTTTGATTTAAAATATATTAAAATAAATTTTATTCATTACATTAATAAAAAATCATGCACAATACATAAATTTCTTTTCTGACTGTATCCAAAAATACTTTAGTTTTACCGAAATTGAAATACTATTAAAATACTTGGAAGATGGAATCCTCGGGGAATTTTTTTACAAGATTTTTGGTTTGTACTCTGTACAATTTTGAGTCTCCATTACTCCAACATTTGTATTCTCTATTGCCCTCAGTACGATCCTGTATCATACGAAAACGCTATTATGTAAAGTAATATTTATTTTACTTGTATTATGCTCTCCCTCTCCCTCTCTTTCTTTCTCTTTCTCAATATAATTCTCCATAACGAAATTTATCATATATTTAATTTTCTCTACTTTTGTCATAAATATTTTTGTTTTAGGCTGAGTTTTCACTGAGTGCGTGACGCGTCGCGTCAACGAGTTATAACCAATCAAAACATTCCATTGTTAAACATGTTATTACAATGGGATGTTTTGATTGGTTATAACTCGTTGACGCAATGCGTGACGCGCTCAGTGGAAACTCAGCCTAAAACAAAAGTACCTATGACAAAAGTAGAAAAAATTAAATATATGATAAATTTCTTTATGGAGAATTATATTGAGAAAGAGAGAGAGAGGGGGGGGGGAGAGGGAGAGAGAGAGAAAGAGGGGGAGAGGAAAAGAGATGGGGGGGAGAGAGCATAATACAAGTAAAATAAATATTACTTATAATTAATAATTATAACTTATAATTGCTTGTAATTCATATTTTGATACATTATTTTTATAGTTTCATGTATGCTGGACAATGGAACGCCAAAAGAGAAATATTATAAAACCAACTAGATATTAGACCACATCATCGGATGAAGATGTAAGGACAAGAACAGTGAAAAAGACATATACTACCCAAAAAACTAGTAATATTATGTCACAAGATATAAATGAATTAAAACACATTTTTAAAAATTCCTCCAACATAATAGAGAATACTGCTTCTAATACACAACATACCTATGATACACAAACCGTACAATATTTGCCTTCATCACAAATACCTCAACAAACAAGTCAACAAAGTCAACAAAGTCAACAATGTCAATACATGTCTACAGCGTTTGCGCTATATAATGATGATGAATCTCAAAATAATGATGATGAATTTGAAAAAGAAGAAACGACTAGTGCTGCAAGACATGCATTTCAACGTAACGAAAATAATTATGATGAAATTACGTACACAAATTTAGACGAACACGTTTCACAAAATTTAGGGAACAGAAGATTGGTAGAACAAGATAATATAGTCGATAGGTATTTATTGAATTTAATTTTATATAAATATTTCTTTTAGAAATATAGAAAAAAAATTGATAAAAATCTTTATTGCATTATAAACTTTTTTTATTTTTTTCGCTACTATTATTGACGGAATATTATCTGCTATGTATGTAAATAACATTTATTTGTATTAAAAGATATAACAAATATAAAGAATATTTTATTTTACAAAAAAAATATATATTTTCTATTTGCATATAATAAAATGCATCTTGCAAAATCACATTTTTATCTCAAAAAATATTTATTTTATATCTTATCAGAGTTTTTTTTTCAGAGAAGTCTTGTATCGCATTGAAGAAGACATGAGGTAACTTTTATATATTAATTGTACTTATATAACATTTCTTCATATATATTCTAATACTACATATTACATTAATACATTACTTGCAGAAGAATCAAGAACACTTTAAACAGATTTAGTAACAGTTTGGACCGCATTTTGAGATGTGTACAAAAAAATCAGCGCAGAGTATTAAGAAAGCCTGATTGTTTACCTATTTCTATAGAGGCAGAGATGATTGCTTTCGAAACTATAAACGAAGAAACATATGAAGAAGTGGTAACTTGCAGAAAAGCATTAATTAATTATTATATACTTATTATTGATTGACTATGAAATTGTTTATAAAATTTTGTCTGCAATGTAACTTGCTGTTCCTTAGTAAGTTATCAAGTAGTATAGTATTTAATCCTTTTTAGTATATTCGCATGCATCTCTTAAAAACTATATGTAATATTAAAAAATTCTTAACTTTATTAAAAAGTTAATCTCTTAAATTTTAATATAAAAATATTACACTTTAGCACGGCCTCCTGCACGCCGCATGCACTTTTATAGCAACAAAAGTATATGTAAGTGATGAGATAATGATTTATTTTCAAAATACGCAAAATACAAAATTTAACTTTTAATATTTTGTGTGTGTGTGTGTGTGTGTGTGTGTGTGTGTGTGGCGTGTGCGCGCGCGTGTGTGTGTGTGTGTGTGTGTATCAATGTGTTATATATGTATGTATATGTATCTATGTATATGCGCGCACGCGCTGAATCAAATAGTATAAAATTTCTTATTTTTCATATAGGTGAATTATTTTCAAAGTGTTGGCGGATTTACCGTAAAAGAAGCTATCAATCTTTCTTTCAAGGAAGGTATTAAAGATAATGCTACAGCGTCATTTACATGGCTTGGTGGAGAAGAAAATCTACAACCTCTACATAATAAGCGCATAATAATGGCAATATATGGTATGATGTTTTAATTGAAACATAAGGCTCTGCACATAATAGAGAAAATATTAGGAATAGGAATTATTTTAAAATAATAAAATCGAAAAGACTGATATACAAATACAAATTCGGGTATAAAGGACTCTTAATAAATGTATAAGAGTATAAAATACCTGAATTTGTATTTGTATATATGTCTTTTCAATTTTATTATTTTAAAATAATTCCTAATCCTAATATTTAATATTTATTCCTATTATTTTCTCTATTATTTTCTCTATTGCGCAGGGCGTAACATTATTTGTAATAATATATAAATTATATTTTATTATAATATTTGCTAATATTATATATTAGCAATTATAAGTTGCTAATAACTTTATATATTTTACTTTATTTAGATGCTATTTGCAACAATCAATATTTTAATAAACCGACTAAAGCAGAATTTCAAACTAATATGAGAGAAGCATTACGTTCTGCCAAACAGCGATATCGGATGAGCATCCGCAAACCAAATGAACGGGAGCAACGTGCACCCATTCTTTTGGAATCAAGCAGAGAACGGAAATCCGATCCAAAACGAATCCGCTTAATACAATGCCAGAACTAAAAATTAACAATAAAGGTAATAAAATAGACTGCATTGTTGAATTTTTCTTGGAATAAACGGATTATCTTTTTAAAAATATAGAATGTGTAGAGAAAGCAAAAATTGTGATATATTATATTAGATATTCCTTCTTCTTGCTTAGATATTGTAAAGTGTATCTTGTGCTTGTCTCTTTCATTTCCTCAACTTCTCCATTTAGCTTTTCTACTCGGACTAATCGATCTACTTGTAAAAATGGCATCCGTTTTTTCCAAGAAGAATTAAATAATATGCATTCCATTTTATTACCTTAATTTTAAACTTAATATACAATATTATAACTGCGTGCGTCACGAAAGACCGTAGTAGTGTTAATAGGCGGGTTCTAAGCCAGGTTCTCTGAGGGGAGGTGAGGGACGGGGGGTCCCGTGCGGGCGAGGGGGCATGACGTCACGCGGGCGGAGGGGGATTTTCG